TACTTTTGCTCATTTAATGAACTAAATTACTGTTTAGTATCAAAACTTTCAGTCACAGCAAGAAAAGCATAAGGAAAACCAGGAGGTTCTGACTATTTTTTGCCACTGAAAATTCTCCCACATTAGTGTAGCAGGCAAAAAAAAATCTGTCATTTTTATGATACTGTAAAAACTCACTGGAATCAGAGGGTAAATGTTTTCTATGCTGTAATTCCTTCCTTTAAGGCTGAGTGGGAGGAAATCACACCTTCTGAAGGTAAAACCGAGATTAAGGATAGGATTTTTGTTTCCAGAAGTTAAGTTGCACACGAAGCAAATGAGTGTTGATAGACAGTCAGAGGGAAATATAGGTCAGTCGTGTCCTTGCAAGCTACAGAAATGGATCTTACACAGCCAGTGCTACTGGTACAGCAGCACAAGACTGGGCTCAGAAATAAACTCCTGTCAGCTGAATTCAGTGAGAGGAGGAGATTTTATGAGTGCCTCGAAAAAGTTCAGCGACTTTGCTGACAACTAGAAATCTATATTATAAAACCAGTGATTTAAGCAGGAGCTATTTATAGCTAATACATTATTAATGACGTTCTTGAAGACCAATTTCTGATAGTGAGAGGTAAGGGCTATACATGCAACTCGCCATCCAGGGATTGGATGTGAGCTCATTCAGTGACAGCAATGAAAGACACTGGTTCAAAATGAACTTCTAACGCAGGAGTCTAACAGTTTTGAAAATGTTTCATACATATGCACATATACATACACATATAAATACAAACATATGCATGAGTCAAAAACTGCCTTGAGAAACGGCTACTGAATGTGAGTCAAACGCTAGTCTGCATATTAACTGTGCTGGTTTTCTTTGTGGTTTTTTTGAGGAATTAAAGTGTGCAAAGCCCACGGAACATCTTAACAAAAGGCCTTTCCTGAACAGACCTTTTCTAACATTTCAGATTAGAAAAGGGGAGAGATGGCACCTCCCACCCCTCCTTCCACCTCTAGCCCAAGCCCAGCTTTGCTTCGCAAGAGCTAGATAGTGACTTCTATAGTTAAGAGCCATCTCTGAGCCCATTCAATCTTGTACATTCGAATGGTGAGTTTTCAAAGCCTATAATTTTGTAAGATTTTCACTTTTGAAAAGAAATTTGACACGCATTTTGCCAATCAAAGAAATTTGTTTTCTCTGAAGTGCAAGCAGGGCTAAACCAGTCATTTTCTATTAAAAGGTTACCAGAAATCCCTACATCTTCACACCCACTTCTGCGAGATCTGATCTGTAAATGCACCACTGCCTTCCTTTTCCTTTTCATTAAACTTTTGCGTGCAATTTCAGGAAAAGTACTTGCAATTGTAATGTGCAAGGTGTCCATATTTCTCATAGTCTAGAGTGAACACCAGAAAACGTCATTAAAAATAAAACATTCATTCTAAAGAAAGCAGTTAAGTTGAAATTTAAACTACATTACATGTTTTTCTTGCTATGCCTGCCTTTACAAATGCTCCCAATCCTTTAAAAATGTTTGCTTAAATGTATACGGTATATTTAAAGGGAATAAACTACTTGCTATGATATTTGTCCTTTCGAAGGACTGGGTAAGAGAGTGAGGGGGAGGAAGGAGAAGGAGGGAAAATCTTGACAAGAATATATATTAGAGCAATCAATAAAAAGATAATCCTTGGAATTCATGAGTCTTTCGAATAAGATGCATTTTCTTGTAGTAATCCTAAAAACCTATAAAAGAATATTCAAGCAATAAACCCCCCATAACTCATATTTAACCTTTCATCACGTAGAACTACATATTAAATAGCTTAGCAACTGCACGCTGTGTAAGTGCATTCGAATAAGGGCAGAAATAGAAAAATGTAAATGCTACACCTCTTTTAAGCATGCACTGCACAGCCAAGAACATCTGCCAGCTGACCCCATAATCCAATCTGCTGTTCAGAAGCAATCATATCCTTAGATAAGAGCTGCACAGCTTCTACATGCGATGCCCATTTTCTTTAAGAGATGGAGCAAAATGTAGTTAGCCAACTCTTCAACAATTTTCCAACACTTAGAGGTACCAGACGAAAGTCATTCAACGTATTGCATTTAAATACTGCATTAAAATACTGTCATCTCTCCCTCCAAATATTGTAATTCATCTTTTAATTTCACAAGGCAATAAGATAGAGGAAGTTTAAGGCTGAAGTGACGATATCAAATCGAGTGATTGTATCAGAATACCAAGTGCATACAGCCCATGCAAACTGTTTGCCACTTCTATTAGAAAATAATAAAATCTTCAACAAAATCTGTAAGGGCTCAACCTAGTTCATTGACTGTAATGAGACGCTGAAATAGTGTTTTAACACTCTCTGTAGTTAAACTTACATCTGAAAAGCATTGAAAAAAAAAGACATACAGGGGTCTGCCAAGAAGCCTAGAAAACACCCTTCACAAGAAGAGGGTGAAAAGATTATTTGGCTTAATGAGAGAAAGACACAAACTGACTGAGGGCTTTAATTTACGGTTGGACTCCATGATCTTAAGGTTCTTCTACAACCTAAATAATTCTGTGATCATAAGACAATGGAAAATGGAGGGTTGCCCAAAGTAACTGATTAAGCAATAACAAGACCCAAGCTCAGAAACAATAATTCAAAAAATAACAAAAAATACTGGAGGAAATAATAAGGAAATAATAAGGGAAAACTACTGGCACCTGGAGGAGTTTATTACTGGTTCTAAGTTATCTAACATCTTTATCAACTGCATAAAATACAACATAACACAGTAGACAGTGAAAGATAAAGCAAACCTCAGCACTGAGGTGATTTAGCTTTCTCATGTCTGATACCAAACAAAAGCAAGTATTTTACTGCAGGTTTTTAACCCAGATTATATAATTAGGATGTCACATATGTATATATAAAGAACCTATAAGGCTTTGCTCTAGGATTTAAATACCACCTAGACCAGAGGAAAGAGAAGACAATCTGGCTTGCAGTGGATTAATGATTTGTGTCCAGCTTAGCTAAACAGCAGCACGATCAGCTAATTTAGTTTACCATCTGGGTAGGCAACTTGTGCATGCTGCCATGTGCCTAAGGACCTCAGCGTGTCTAAATCTGTGCTGGAAGTCAAAGTCCAGTGGGTGCACAGCAAAACTCCCTCCGAACTGCACAAAATATTGCGAAGCATTTGGGGAGGAATGAACAGAAACACACACACATAATATGTGTATACATGTGCTCATATAAGTGTACATACATATACATATATACACACTTTCCTTATTAGCACAACTACTTCTTATCCTAAAAGGTCCAAAATATATAGGATCTGATACAGTCCTATAAATCTAAATTGGAAAACAGTAATCCATTGGTGTGCTTAACCAGCTAGAAATAGCTTAGAATCATAGAATGGTTAGGGTTGGAAGGGACCTCAAATATCATCTAGTTCCAAAACCCAAAACAAACCAACAAAAACTCCACCACATCTAAAAAAACCCAGACCTTAATGCAATTCTAAGGTGTCACTCCTAAAGCTCACAATAGGAAGTCCTCTAATGAATCAATGGTGTTTCCATCATGACGTGTTCCCAGTAAAGCAGCAAAAAGCACCCACCACGTTTATGTTAATACCAGCCACGGCACTTTGCAAGCACTGTGCACCGATAAACATTACAAAGACATAATTTCCAAGTTTAAATAATTTCTTTCCTTTAACATCTTCTGAAATGCTTTTGAAATTAGCAAATCTAATGTGCGTGGGAATAGGCAACACTTTACAGCAATAAGTTTACTTTTAATGGAAGCAGTCTGTTGTGTCTATGGGTAACAAACCCCAGTATCTGTTCATTACAAATAGCTTATTGTTACCATACAACTTACTGTGGGATTTCATTTTGCCTCTTTGGTGATCTGTCTGATCTATTAAGAAAAGCACTGAGGTATGGACAACATACACTTTATTGCAGTTTTATATTTTCATAGTCCCTGCTGCTTCTGTTAGGCTACTGCCTATGAATTTCAAATAGTAACAAGGAAAAAGAAAAAAAAAAAGTATTTACCAAGTTTCTCACAGGGAAAAAAATAAACGGTGAAGAAAATGAGGCAAGGTCAGAATCCAGTGTTAGAAGTGATGCTGCATCCCAGCACATGACCGCTGCAGCAGCAGTTGCACAGAAAAACAACTGGATCCACCAGCTCTAGTACCTACAAGCCACTACACAAATAAATCTTTGTATGAATACTATTAAAGACCTTCTACACACACTATGCAACATGGTTTTTTCATATATATATATATTCATAACATATATATGAAGCCCTTCGGCATGACTGTTTCTATCCTATTAATTTTCATAGTTGAATCTGAAATATAGGACAGGCAAAACTTAATAGTACTTCATCAGTGTTAATTAGCGTTGAGAATTAATCAGCAAATGTAGGAAATCATTATTAGTTTTGCAGAAATGCATACAGCATTAAATAGCATTTAAATAGATGCCGATCTTTTTTAAAGAGTAGCAATTTAGAGATTACTTTCCTCTGATGGGATACTTCAATATTGAATATACAGAGATTAATGTTCAAGGGAACTTGTGTTGAAGGGAAACGTTGCTAAAAATAGCAATATATATTTAATAAATGTTTTTGCAGCAACCGTAGTCTCAGAGAGAATTAAAGACTTTCAAAATATCCATGACATCTGAGCTCTCTGATGCTCATACACTATCCAGGTGGAATTATGTGTCCAGGGCTTCCTGTGCTCTGGGAGATAAAAATTTCTTTATATAAGAAACTTGGTGTTTCAGGTCAAATTCTGCTGTTACATGAGCATCTCCCCCTCAATCCTCAAGAGGTTCAAGGATTGCCTACAAAATGTGAGACGAGGTGTGGTCCTCGGAGATAACACCTATTTTAAATTTCACAGTACCTTGTGATCACAATTAAAAATACAGCAAGCACAGAGAGATTTCTGTTGGCTGTTTAATGCCGCTCACCTGATTCTTGAGATCCAGCTTTGGGCAGGGACGACCTCCATTGTAAGGCTTCTCCTTAAGCCACTTGGATCGGACTTTCACCCCTGGTCCACAGGAAGAGCTGCAAGGGGACCAACTGGACCAATCGCTTAATTTGCAATCAAACGGGCAAGGGACCGTGCAAGATTCTTCAATGTAACCTAAACCAAAAATTTAAGAAAGGCTTTTTAATCACCGCAGCTAATGAACTCTCATCTTCTGATGCCTCACTGCAATCTGTGTAGTCAACACAAAACAAGAACTCCTTAAAGAAAAGACATTTGGCAGACCGACAGCGCCCTCCCAACGTGAGATTATGATATTATTTGTAAAGAACAGCAGTGACTAGAACTAATGTCTACTTGGTTTATTTAGTCCAATGACCATTAGGAAGGCTGTAATAAAACTGACACACACTGGCAAAAGCATCTGTTGTGAAGCTGGTGGTAACCAAGAAGTGAAGAGAATCTGGCCATAATTTCTTCTCTGAAAGGGTTGTCAGCCACTGGAATAAGCTGCCCAGGGAGGTGGTTGAGTCCCCATCCCTGGATGTGTTTAAGAATAGGGTGGATGAGCTACTTGAGGATATGGTTTAATGGGGATTAGGGATGGTTGGACTCGATGATCTCTAAGGTCTTTTCCAACCTAGAAATCTATGAAATCTATGAAATAATAACATTATGGAGACATAATGGTCTCCATGGTTATGGAGTTATGGTTATTATGGTTATAATAATAACATCTGGAGAACTAAGTGCACAGCTCAATTTTGTACTCTTTTAGGATCATGCCAGCCACCTAGAGAGCTGGCACAGGCAGGGAGTCAGAGGCCCTCCTCCCATTGGACAGAACCAGAGGATGGTGGAGACACCAGAGCTGTGCTCGTGGCATCTCCCACAAGACGCACAAGGGACCTGCCCGCAGCCTGCCAGCTGGAGCAGGGTGGGGTGGGTTCTGGAGAGAAGCAGGTGAAACCTGCTTCCCACTTCTTTCTGGTAGTTCTATTTATATATCTTTCCAACTGTTTTGTCTATTCTGAGTTTCGTAACTAGAATTTCAAAGTTTTGTTTTCAACTTAACCTGGCTTGACATAAAAGTCCTCCCAAGATCATCACCTCTTAAAATCAGAATACCAGACATCTGCAGGACCAACGCCTTTCTGAATTAAAACCCAGCAGAATTTCTCAGGGAAAAAAAAAAGGTTCCTCCATACAGGCACAACCCCACAGCTGGTTTAGGAGCTGGCATACGGGAAGAGAGGTTTTGCAGAGCGCAGCACTGGCCATGGAGCTGCTGGTGTGCAGGAAGGCTGTGGAGGGTGGCTGAACCCTCGAGGTCTCTGGGGAATTACTGGCACCAATCTTGAGCTGGCACTGTGGAATAGCTCCTGCACCTTCCTGCTTACCGTGCTGCACTCATTCTCCTCGAGTTTCTATTATCTGCTTGTCATGTCTGTATGTACTATTTTAATTTAAACAAAAAAGAGATTTCATGTTAGACCATGAAAGTCAGTGGCTGCTAAGATCAGCCTTTATTACAGGCAGCTTCGACCCTCTGACAGCTCTGGCAATGATGGTCACGGAAATAACTGAATTTCATCCCTACCGTATTTCTCATGTTTCTCATTTTTATGCCCGTTCTTTCTGTTTGTTTTTCATCACACTAACACTCCCTCTATTCCTTACCTACAGAATACCAAATTAGCTCATTCAATTACTCTTTTATGAAGGGTTCCCCCACTCTCTCTCAAGGTGACAGTCACTGCAGCAGAGGGGAAAATAACCTCCAAAACCCCCACACAACAGCCCTCAACAACTAGGAAACACCGAGGCTGAGGCACAGAGAATATTGTGGCCCAGAGCTGGATTTACCAGCTCCGCCATGCCCGAACCTGCTGCTGGTTCCAAACCAGGACTGCGTTACACCCCGAGCATTGACCCACAGAAGCAATACGCTGCCTCCCTCCTAGTCTTCATGCTGAAGTCGGTATCAAAAAAGGTTGCAGACTTCTTTAGACATCCCCCACTGGAAAATATCTTCCTTCTAGATGTACAAGAGATACTGATGTTGTTTTTGTAAATAGTACCTTAAAAAATGCTAGAAACAACAGCAGTTCCCTCCTTCAGTTCAACGATGCTCTATTTCTTCTCTCTTTTTCCTACGTGACGGTAACGTTCCCTCTTCCTTTACGGCAGCCACCCTGTAGCCTGACAGCTGCTATCATTTCCCCAGTAACTCATGTCGTAACTCTTCCCTAAAGCTGCAGACCTGTCCCCATACAGCGTGCTCTGGTTTTCTTTGCTACCTCTTATCTCCGTGTGTTGCGTTGCCTTTTCGTTTGCAGCTCCAAAGCCACTGGAATTGGGTATCTTAATTATTTCTGACCCAATTCATTACAGTGGTGTTCATGTGTTTGAGATATTTCAACTTTGCACGCTTTGTATTCTCATCTAGGTGAGATTACACCCATGCACACATATACAAATATTTCCAACATAGACTCACCTTTTTTCCCCCCAAATGAAACTCCCAAATATCCCACTAATATTCTATTCCAACTGCTTAGGTTGCCACTCAAAGCAATTCATAATACATTATGATAAGTAAAAGAAGTTTTCTCATGATAGATTTATGAGAAGCATTTCTTAGGCAGTTCTCATAAGAGTTCTGTTCCACCACTGTATGAAATATCATTTTTCCTTGGGCTGTGTGACAGCCTAGGTAATTAACTCTCACCAGAAACAAAGAAAGTGCCTTGTTTCAAAGTAGGATTAGACAGAGGGGTTATCAACTTATCAGTGAAGGCAAAACGGGCTAAGCCTTTTGGCAGTTCAAGACCTACCTCTATAATAAAAAGAAGTATAATACAAAAAAGAAATAAAGGAAGAGGAAGGAAAAGTTATAATAAACAAAACTAAGGAAACCTATTGTATTCCATTCCTGGGAAGTGCTGTGGGGATCCCTCAGTGAACCACAGAATTTCTAAAGACGTCCTGTTGCTAAGAGGCCAGCTCATTACTTTTTGAGTTTCCTCACCCATATTTCTAAATCATATTACGTATAAACAAATAATGGCCAACTAATAGATCATTAAACTACCATACTGCCCAGAGGAAGCTAATTTTCCATAGTGAACAATGCTACAGAATCAAAATTTCTTTCAAGCTCTTCTCACAGGTTGCCGTTATTTCTCCTGTCAATCACTTGAGGTTAATCCTATGCCGAGATACCCATGGATCAAAGATTTCATTCAGCAAAAATTTTCCTCAAAAAATCTTTATGTGATGTATCCTCTCTGCTCAGACAGAGAATGCCGTTACGGCTATCTTTTTATGAGAAACTAGTAAGTAATGTTGTACTCAGCTCATCCGTTGCCTATGAGAACAGGATATTTATTTTTCTCTGTAGGAGTCAAGCAATGGCTTGCCATTGTCAGAGGGCTGAAAAGACTTTAGTTTGGATACCCATAATAATCCTAGCATTGGGGCATTCCTAGAAAACTTGTAGCATTGGCACGTTGCATAATACAAAACAAAAACATTAACAAAGAAAATTTGCTATTAAAACAACCTATTAATAAAGAATTCTACATTCGGGGTATTACCCAGAGAAATCATAGAATCATAGAATCGTTAGG